GTATCCCGGGGTCCCTGTGAATCAGAGATCCTGGATATCCCCTGGGTCCCTGTGACTCTAAGGTCCGAGAGGTCCTGGGGGTCCAGGGGGTCCCTGTGACTCAGAGGTCCTGAATGTCCTGGAGACATTGTGCCTCTGGGGTCCTGACGATCCCTGTGACTCGAGGGTCCCAGAGGTGCTGGATGTCCCCTCGGTCCCCATGGCTGTAAGGTCCCAGAGGTGCTGGATGTCCCCGCAGTCCCCATGGCTGTAAGGTCCCAGAGGTGCTGGATGTCCCGGGGTCCGTGTGACTCCAGGGTTCCTGTGGTCCTGGATGTCCCCGCGGCTCGGGGCTCCCGGGGCTCCCGGGGGTCCCCGCGGTGCCGCCCCCGTCGGGCCCCAGGTGAGCGGGGGCGGAGCCTCCGTGGAGGCCGTGCCCCGCCCCACCCCCTCCGTGCTCTCAGCCAATGGGCGCCCGGCGGGAGGACAGGCCCCGCCCCCTTGGTTTAAATGCCGCCCCCCCGCGCCCGGCGCCGCCAGAGAGGGAAGCGCTCGGCCGGCCGCCGCTGCGCTGCCGCCATGGACTGACCGCCCGCCCCGCACGGCCCCGCACCGCCCGCCACGGTGAGTCCCGCGGCCGCCGCACCGCCCGAGCCCTCCCCACGGCCACCGGGGCTCTGTGGGGCGGCAGCCCACGGGCGGGAGGGGGCTCTGCCGGGCATCCGCGGGCTCAGGGGGCGGTGGGGCCGGGGGGCCCTGGTGGGCCCGGGCCAGGCCGTGGGACGCCTGGTGTGGCCTCGGCACCCAGAGTGACAGGGTGTCACTGGGGCTCGGCCGAGGGTCGGCATGCCCTGCTCCCTGTGAGGCCTCAGCTGAGCCAGGGGCATCCGGCTGGCCCCTTCCCCGGCTGATGGTAGGGCCTCGGCTGGGCTGGGGCGGTGGCACTGCAGAGGGCTGGGACAGGGGTTCATGGAGGGCTCTCGCTTCCCTGTCCCTGCCTGTGCCTGTTTTGTCACGGGATGTGCTGGGGTCTGGCCCTGGGATCCTGGTCTGGTGCTGCATCCATCGCAGGCAAGGGGAGGGATGTACTCGGGGCTGACATGGAGCACGGCTCCATCCGGCATGGCCGAGTGGCAGTGAAGCGCTCCAGACCCACACAGGACCGGCATGGTCTTGGGTCCATCCCATGCTTGCTCTGTCCCAGCAGATGTGACGGCTGGGCTCTCCTGCTGGGGTCAGGCAGAGGTGGGAGCTGCTGGCAGCAGTGTCCACCACCACCCTCCTCAGTGGAGGGCTTGGCTGGGGTGGGGTTTGGCTGCCCTTGTTCTGCTTGTCCTCAGGGGCCGCTGTCCTGGGTCACTGACCTGCTGCGGGTCCCCATGAAGTGCTGACAAGGGTTTTCCTCTGGCTGGCACAGAGGGATGGGTGCCAGCAGGGCCACTGGCCAGCCTGGCACCGGGAGGCAGGGATACCCCACTGCTTCTCCTGCCGCCAGCTCCCCACACACTTCATTGCCACCTGGTGTGAGTTCGGAGGGTGCTGGCGCCTGTCACCCTCTTTGGGTGTCACCTCTTTGTCTTTGGGTGTCACCTCTTTGGGCCACCGTGCGGTAAATGTCCCTTTCCATGCCTGGCTCCCTCCCAGCCTGGCAACGGCCACAGGAGCCAACACTTGCCAGCAGAGATGCTCCAGTTCTGAGACTCTTCCCAGCCAAACCCCCAGTAATGTCCCCCCGTACAGCTCCCCTTGCCAGTGTGCCCCACGCCCACGGGTCTCACCCTGCTGGGGCTGGTGCGGCCGGACTGCCCTGACCCAGCTGTGCGGCTGCCCACACGGCCTGGGCAGTGCCGCCATCAGGGATGACACTAATTACTGTTTTCCCCCGCGCCACGCCGAGCCCGGCCGGGTGGCCCTGACGCAAGCGCTGCCTGCCCGGCTGGCTCTGCCGGCGGGACGCGGCACGAGGAAGCGCTCGGGGACAGCCGCGGCCGCCCCAGTCACTGCGGAGGAATCTGCCCGTGCCGCCCGGGCCACGCGTGGCACCATCCCCGGCCTCCTCCCACCCTCCGCCGGCGTTCCGGCTCCTCCCGAGGCGCTTTGGCTGACGGCAAAGCGGCTCTGCTGGTTTTTCTCCTTGCCGGCACCTGAGATGGGGAGCGCGGCCGGGTCAAAGGGGCAGGAGCGGGATGGAGGGGCTGGCGAGCGCTCGGGGAATGCAATAACCAGGCCTGCATTCCTGCGGGGCTGCTGCGGAAACTTTAATTAAATAGGGAGGGGAGCGGGAGGAGGTGGGAGCTGCGGCGGCGCACGGTCGGTTGAAGGGGAGGAGGATTAAGGGTTTAATCCTGCACATCCCCCGGCTGGCTCGGGGAGGGGGCACGTGCTGACATCGCCTTGTTTTGAGGGGTGTGAGGCAGGGCAGCGGCGTCTGCATCCCGCCTGGCAGAGGCACCGTGTCACCTCCCTGTCACCGCACACTGCAGGGCCCCCGTCCTTCCTGCTCCGGTGCCACCGTCCAAGGTGGCAGCCCACGGGCCGGCAACAACGCTGGCTTTGTTTGTCTGCGCTTGCCGGTGCGGGAAGGAACATCCCGGCTGTGCCTGCTTCCCCAAGCAGAGGGGAATGGCAGAACTCTGCAGCTCCTCCAGCCTGTCCTGCACAGGTGTCACCCTGCAGCACAAGGACGTGGCCTCGTCCTTAAAAACAGGAGGCGGGTGCAAAGCAGGGCATCCCTGCCGAGTGCCAGCCCTGGGCGGGCAGCGCGGTGGCCCAGCCCGGGGGGCTGCAGGCGGGGAACGGGGGTGACACGGCACTCCCACCCCAGCAGGCTGGCAGGGAAAGGCTGAGCCGGGACTGGGGGAATCTGAGCCCAGATCCTCCCCGCAGCCGGAAAATATGAATAATTCGGCAAATATCTGCGGTGCAGGCGCGGGGGAGCCCAGCCAAGGCAGCAGCAGGCCGCTGGCAGGGCGGCCCCAACACCTCCAGCAGAAACGGGGCCCCCTCTCCGCCCTTGGGGACCCTGCCAGGACCTGGGGAGGCTGTTCCCCTGCCCCCCGTTCCTGGGGCTGTGCCGGGCTGCGGGAACTCCTCTCTGCCTCGGAGCAGCATCGTGCCGGGAGGCGGGGCGCGGACGGGATGTCGGCGTGTGCCGGCGGAGCGGGCGATGCCGAGGGGCGGTGGCGGAGGCTGCGGGGCCCTGCCCGGCGCTCGTGGCCAGGCGCGGATGCGCGGCCGTGGCCGGGCTGGCCGAACCTGCCCGGAGCGGGGAGCCTGGCAGACGGGGAGGAAATGCCAGCGTAATTAAAGGGACGAGAGAGACTTGGAGTCAGCAGCTGGTTGCAGCACGGGACACGTCAGCGAAACCCGACCCTGGCATTGCAAAACCAGCCCCGGCCTCGCCAGCATCCCGCAGGCCTGGCCCCGCTCCGGCGCTGCCCACCCGGGCGGGCTGGCACGGCCGTGGCACCGCCGGCACGCCAGCACCCTGCACCCAGGTTTCTCTCACCAGCCAGCACACTCTGGATGCTGGAGCCACCTCGAGGTGCGCTGGGTCTGCCCCAAACAGCTCTTCAAAGGGTCTCCATGTTGTGCTTTTAACTCTGCTGGCAGCCTGACTGTGATGTGGAGTGCAGGGGCAGCTGACACTGGTGAGGGGGCTGGGGGCTGAGCTGGGCTTGCTGGGGAGGGGATGCAGTGATGGTGACCCCTGGGTGACAGTGACCTCTGGGATGTGGCACAGCTCCTCCCCAGTGTCAGGGGCTGACGGCACAGGTCGTGTCAGGGCAGGGCCGGCCAGGCCAAGTGACTCAGGCGCTTGTGGTGACCCTGCCCAGCCGTGGGCTCACCCCACCCTAGGGGGGGCGGCTCGGGAAGAGGCGAAGACAGAGCTGGCTGCGTGTTAACCCTGTCCAACCCCCCGGCAGGGCGACAAGAGGACACAGCACGGCTCCAGCCCCTCCTGGCTCAGGATGTGTTGTCCCTGCACTGCTGACGGGGCCGGGGCAGGCGGCACGTGCTGCTCTGTGACCTGCAGCCCCCCACACACAGCGGGGGCCCCTTGCGAGCCACAGGGGGGGCGTTTGCCTGGAGCTCCGACAGCTCTGAGCACGGGGGAGGTGGCAACAGATGGGGCTGGGGAAGGGTTCGCCTCTTCCTTGCCCAGGGATCCCACTCTGCCACCTCCCGCGGACCCTGAAATGGAGTGGCTGGAGACTGTGAGTCTCTGGCCCAGCCCAGTGTCATTAAAGGGGCTGAAAGATGGGGCTGAGGGAAGAGCTCTTTGGGACACAGACAGAGGCTATGATATTGGGCAGGGCATCCATGGGGAGCTGGGGTTGGGGTGGTTACAGCCTTGGTCACCCCAGAGCCTCCTCTCTCCATCCCTGCTGACCCAGCCCTCAAGGGACAGGGACACAGCCCACGGTGCTGAGTCCCTGGAGTTTAACAGAGAGGGGAACAGCAAGGTGACCTGTGGGGACAGGGGCTGGGTGGGGCTGAATGAGCCCCTGGACTCTGTGGGGACACAAATGGCTCCTCCAGCCCCACACTGTGTGCCCCTGTCCCCAAGAAGGGCTGCTGTTGCTGGTGATCCAGGCAGGAGCAGCCCCTGAGGGTGCAGCTGCTGTGATGGCAGCACAAGCAAAGGGTTAAGCTGAGCTCTATGCAGGGGAGGCCGGCCAGGCTCCCACCCCTTCCCGGTGCTCTGATTCTCCACATCCCCTGTGTTTGATTTGCACCCTGCTGAGCAGCTGGGGAGGTTGGGGCCCTCGTGAGTACTGGGAAAGGTCTCGGTGCTCCACCGAAGACAGCCCCAATACCAGTGGGACGTGTCTCGTGGTAGAGCCTGGGGTGTGCAAAGGTACCACATCCCCAAATCCTGGGGGTCTGGGAGGGGGGGAGCATGGAGCTGGGGTGGGCAGCCCTGGAGGCTGAGCAGGGTTCAGAGGTGCCCCTGCCAGCCCTGGGTACCCCGCAGCAGGGCCCATCCCCTCACCCTGGCTGCGCTTGTCTCTCCGCAGAGCTGACACCATGAAGCAGCTGATCCTTTGCACCCTGCTCCTCTTGGCCCGTGGGGAGCTGGCCAGGGCATGTCCTGCAGGCTGCCAGTGCCATGACCCCAAGACCATCCTGTGTGCAGCCAGGCGGGGCCAGACGGTGCCCCAGGGGCTGCCCCCCAGCACCCTCTCCCTCTATGTCTTTGAGAACGGCATCACAACGCTCAGTGAGGACAGCTTTGCAGGGCTGCCTGCCCTCCAGCTCCTGGACCTCTCACAAAACAAGATCACCAGCATCCAGAGAAACATCTTCCAGCCCCTGACGGAGCTCGTCAACTTGGACCTGTCCTCCAACCAGCTGCAGGAGATCACCAATGAGACCTTCCATGGGCTGCGGCTGCTGGAACGGCTCTACCTGCAGAGGAACAGGATCCAGCACATCCATGCTGCTGCCTTTGACACGCTGGAGAATCTGCTGGAGCTGAAGCTGCAGAACAACCAGCTCAGGGCTGTGCCCCCCCTTGACCTGCCCAACCTCCTGCTGCTGGACATCAGCTGGAACAAGATCCCTGCCATTGCACCAGGGGCTTTCCATGCCGTCAGCATTGAGTCCCTGAAGATCGCAGGGCTGGGCCTGACGAGCTTAAACGAGGAGCTCTTCCAGGTCCAAAACAACCTCCACGAGCTGGACATCTCTGACAACCTGCTGGAGCGCGTCCCGGCCGTGCTGCGGCGCCTGGGCAGCCTCACCAGGCTCAGCCTGGCCGGCAACGCCCGCATCTCCCAGCTGCCAGCTGAGGACTTCCAGAGCCTCCACAACCTCCAGGAGCTGGACATCAGCAACCTCAACATCAACACCATCCCCCGGGATTTCTCCGGCTTCTTCCCCAGGCTGCGGGCCGTGACGGCTGCCGGCAACCCCTTCAACTGTATCTGCCAGATGAGCTGGCTGGTGCAGTGGGTGAACACCAGTGGCGTGGTGCTGCGGCGCCCCGAGGAGACGCGCTGCCACTTCCCCCCCAAGAACTCCGGCAAGCTCCTCCACCACCTGCAGTACACCGACTTTGGCTGCCCCACCACCACCCCCACACCCACCACGGCCCGCACCACCACGCTGCCACCGCCCACGCCGCTGCCCAGCACCCACCGCCCGCCGCCGCCCCCCAGCACCGCTGCACCCACCCCGAGGCCCAGAGAGCCCCAGGGCAGCTCCACCCTGGTGCCCTTCCGCGGCGCCCCGGCCCCCACCAGCCCCCCAGTGCCCATCTGTCCCCCCCGCACGTGTCTGAATGGCGGCACCTGCCACCTGGGTGCCCAGAACCTCCTGGAGTGCCTGTGCCCCGCAGGCTTTGCTGGTGTGTACTGCGAGGTGGAGGCGAGGGGAACGACGGCAGCCCCGGGCACGCCGGCCCTGCCACCTGCACAGCGGGTCAGCATCGCCCAGGTGGGCAGCACCTCCCTCAAAGTGGACCTGCACAGCTACATCCAGTCCAAGGCGCAGCTGAAGGGAATCCGCCTGAGCTACCGGAACCTGTCGGGGCCGGACAAGCGGGCGGTGATGCTGCGCCTGCCGGCCTCGCTCTCCGAGTACACGGTGCGGGCGCTGAAACCCAACTGCACCTACCGCGTCTGCATCGGGGCGCTGGGGGAGGCCCCCAAGGAGGAGCACTGTGCCGAGGCACACACCCTGCCCCTCAGCCTGCAGCAGCACTCCCCTGTCACCCAGAGCCAGGACCCCAACCTCGCCCTGATCCTGGTCCCTGCGCTGGCTGCCATGCTGCTGCTGCTGGTGGTGGTCACGGCCGCCATGTACTACTGCCGGCACCGCCGCGCCAAGGCACCCGCCAGCGCTGGGGTGGACACCGGCCCGCTGGAGCTGGAAGGGGTGAAAGCCTGCCTGGAAAACGGGGATTTGAGCAGCCACGGCTGCAAGGTGCCAGAGGCAGCCATGCTTTCTGGCGGCTCTGAGTGCGAGGTGCCGCTCATGCAGTCCCACTACCCCAGCAACAACAACACCCCGGGGCTCAAACCCTCCTACTTCTGAACCCACAGGGCTTCCAGAGCCTTGGACACAGGAGGGCTGAGCTCCAGAGGCAGCACCTGGCCATGTTCCTCTGGGATACAGATTGCCAAGGAGCTGACTGAACTGAGGCAGAAACCCCCCCCCATCCCACAACGTGCAATTTCCGAGAGGCTGCCATGCTTCGGGAGGAGACATGAATTTTACTGCTCTGTGCCTTGATTTCTGTGACTCTACCTAGAACGTGCGCAGCAGAAGAGAAGGGGGGGTTAATTTGGGGGTTGGGGGGCTTTTTTGAGCTCCTGCTAAAGAGAAAGCTGCTGTGACTGGGCTGAGGGACGCCCACGTGCTGGTAACAAGGGTCCTTCAGTGGAGCACGGCCCGTGACTCAACTCCCTGGAAGCTGATGTGAGCAATACGGCCCGGCCGAGGTGCTGGGACCCTCGGGACCCCCCGGGCCAAAGGAAGTGCCGAGCAGGCAAACCGGGAATTGAAGCTTTAAGAACTCAGAGAGAATATTTATACATCGTTATTTCCCATTTCTTCTGGGAAAACTTTTTTTAGTACAGCTTTGTGTACATCTCTTTTGTAAGGCAGATCAGAAGGGTGTCTTTTTGTAAAAAAATACAACCCCAAATTAAAATAACAACAACGAAAAGTTCTGTGCAGCCCTGAGTAGCTCGGCAGGCACTGCCCGTCACAGGCAGGGGTGTGGGCAGTGTGGCGTGTCCCCTGCAGAGGAGCGGGAAGGTCAGCCGTGTCCTCCCGTTGTTGTTGGCGAGCACCGGGATGAGTCAGGGCAAGGGAGGGGGGAGTTTTCCCGACTCTGGGCGTTTTTACCCCTAGGGTGCTGCCCCCCACCTCGGGCGCTGAGGAGGTGTTCCCAAAACAGAGGCCACGGGGTTCAAATCAGCCCCTGCCCTGCGCATCATCCAGCCTTACTTCATCCCTCCCCGCCTGCCAGATGGCTGCGGGGCCAGCTGCGGGACAAACAGCCCAGCCCAACCTCCTGACGTCAACCGCGGCGGCACCGGGACCCCCAAATCGCCCGTGACAAGTGTCAGCCTGCGTGGCCCCCCAGGCCGGGGGCCGCCGCCAGAGCCCCCGCTGCCCGGCCCCAGAACAGCCGGTTTTGTGCACGGGGTGGGCTGGGAGCCGACGCTCGGCAGGTTCCCGCTGCCAAGTGGTTTCTGCTCCAACCCTCTGGTTTTAATCGTTTTCCAATCCTTTATCTTTCGGGCTGGAATTTTCCAGGTTGGGGCCCTGCCCGCCGAGGTATGTTTGATTTGGAGAGAATGAGCACAGCGCGGGGCTGCAGCCGAGGGTCACCGCCGTGCGCTCCGGGCCGGCCGCTCCGCCGCAGGGCACGGCCCTGACCCCCGGCCCCTCGGTGCCGCTCGCCCGGGGCAGGGAGCGGCTCTGGATGCAATTAGGGGCGCGGGGCGTCGGCGGGGCCGTCTGGCGCAGCCCCCCGGCTCCCAGGTGGGCTTCCGGCAGGGCTGGCTCCCATTAGGGCTGGCGCAGCGGCAGGAGGGGCCCCTCGCCGGCGCGGGCGGCTCGCTGCGATGGCCACGCTCGCCCGCTCAAAGGGCCCATTGTGGTCCTCTCCCCACAGATTTTTCAAATTAACATCCCAAATTCCTCCCAAAATTGCTGCTGTGTAAATATTTTCACTGCGAGCTTTGTATATTTTCCAGCCTCGCGAGGAGGAGAGAAGAAAAGTCCCTGGCGGAGCCGCAGCCTCGCGCCGGGTGCCCCTGGCCGGCCGCCGCCACAGCCCCTGGCGTGTCCCCGGCCTCGGGAGCCCTCCAGCCCCTCCTGGCCCCTCACTTCCCCCCTCCTTTGCCTCCATGATGAGCCCTTCCCCTAACGAAGCCGACTTCCCCACTTGCAAGTGGCTAGTAGCAAACCTAGTAGCCAAAGGTTTGCAGGGGAGCCCCCCCAATACCAAGCGTGTGCTGGGGACCCCTTGGCTCCTCAGTTCATCCCATTGCTCTGGAGGGGTTTCCAGCAGCTCCAGAGTGAGGGAGCTCCAGTGGAGATGCCAGGGGGGCAGAAGCAAAGTTAGGGCTCAGCTTTGGCAGGTGCAGCACCCCTGGGACACCCTGAGACTAAGATTTTGGGGTGCCAGCTGCACAAGGGGGACAGCAGGGCTCGGAGGTGATGGGGACACTACAGCCAGGACGGGGCTTGGCCCACACCCACATCTGCACCCGGGCAGCCCTGCGGGAGAGCAGCAGTGCCCAAAGTGGGGCTGTCCAGCCCCTGTGGCTTCCTGAATCCCAGCACAAAATTCCCCTGGCCACTGCCAGCCCCGCCGTGCGCCAAGAGCCGCTCCAAGAGCGGCACATCGTGCGGCGCTGCTAATTCCTGCGAGCTGAATCAGCGCCGACAAGGATTGCAAAACCCCCTGAAATGGACCCAAAAAAAATCTCTCTCTCTGTGCGATCCGGCGGGGCCGGTGAGCAACAGCCCCGGCCAGAGCCACCGGCAGGATGGGGGCTCGGCAGGGAGCCACAACGGGAGGAGCCGCCGGCTTCACCGGGACAGATCCTGCCTGCACCCTGACGTGGCAGGGCTGGAGGGCTCTGGTCTCCCAAAAATCACCCCTAGTCCCAGGCATGGCCCCATGGAAACCAAAGAGAGGTCCCCTGGGTCCCCCAGGTCCCCAGGTCTGGAGCAGAGCCCTGAGGGGTCATGGCTCAGTGCCAGGGGTCTGGATGCCCAATCTCTGGGGGGAGGACAGGCGTGTGCCCATCACACAGAGCCCAGTGCTGCCAGGAAGAGCTTTGGAGCTCATCATCCTCCTGCAGAGCTGGGGAGGCCAGGAGCACCGTGTGGCCACTGAGGCTGTGGCTCATCTGGGAGTGATTTGGGTGCTGCCATCCCGCCCCAGCGCTGGGCTATTTTTACCCAGTGGAATTACGGGACAGGCCACATGGGCTGGGTGGTTGCCCTGCCTTAACCCCTTCATGTGGCTGCCCGTGGGGATGGGTCCCACTAGGGTGACACCTGATGGGGTGGGGTGGCCTCTCCCCTTCCTTGTGTCTGAGGGTGGCAGCCAAGCTAGGGCAGGACAAACCCCTTTCCCACTGATGGCAAGCACGTGTCAACCCAGGCATCTCTGGGATCTGCAGGGGGATGGGGACAGCAATGGACCTGTCCTGCTCAGGGTTCTTCCTGCTGGGGTGGGTTTTTTCACCTACCATGACCCAAAATGGCTTCTAAGCCCCAGGAAAGAGCAGTGCGGAGGGTGTCAGGCAGGACAAGAGCAGGTCCCATGGTATCTGGGGAGAGGTGGCAGGGTGACAGTGGGAACATGTGCCTCGGTGGGGTTGGGTGCCCTGGTGCTGGGAGATGCCAGGGCTGCAAGCCTGGCCCCAGGAGCTGGCTCAGCCACAGGCTTTGGCAGAGAGTGGGTGTTAGGGACTGAGCTCCCCCTGGACAGTGCCCTCAGGGAACCACCTGGGCCCCTCCATGTCCTGCTCCAGCCCTGGGGAGCCAAACAGCCCCAAATCCCTCCACAAACATCCTGCTATGCCAACTCCCTGCTGCAGACAGGTCCCGGCTCCGGCACCTCCCAGCTCTGTCAGACTTTGCACCATGAAGTGTGGTGGGGATCCAGCTGTCCCCATCCCTCAGCCCCACCACCCTCCTGCCCTGCGGGGACATGCCCACTGCTGGAACACGCCACGGGGACCTCTGCTGACCCCAGATCTCATCCCTACTGATCCAGCCCTAGCCCTGAGCTGGCCGTGGCACCCCAGCCTCCCTGGAGACGTTTTCAGGACATCGAAAGAAGCAGTGATGCGAGGAAGGCGCTGTTCTCCTGTCACCATGGTGGTGACAGCATTGTCCCCAGGCAGTGCTGTGCTGCCTGCCGGGCGTGCGGCAGCAGGGTCTGGTCGGTGACCCCAAGTTGGAGCTGGTAACCCAACCCCGCTGGTGCTGGTTACAATTTAGGGCAACAATAACCTATTGAGAGGCCCCTTCCTGGCTCCTGCCCTGCTGCTCCTTGATCTAATTAAAGGGGGCCAGGCGGGGACAAAACCCGAGCTGAAGGAACAGCAGGTACCCAAGGGTGGCACATTGAGGACCAGGATGTGGAGAGGGGCCATGGCCACCCACACCTCTCACCTCCTGTTCCCTCAGGGTCTGGGAATTGGTGGGGTCAGCTCTTAAGCATGGCCCTGACATGCTTTGAAAATGATATTTGTGTGGTCAGAAATATCTCACCTGCTCAGGATTTGGGAAAGAGAACCCCCAAAAGGCACATGCTGATGTGGAGGTCCATGGGGCTGGTGCCTCCCACTCTCTGCCCTCTTTCAGGGATGCTGGATAGGCCACAATCAGCCTGAAGGGTTTGGTGTTGTTGTGGACACACTGGGGGTGTTGGCGTGAGCACACTGGGGGTGTCCCCCACCTTGGGGCACGCCGTGGCCCTGCTTTGGGGTGCCATGGGGACGCGCGGTGCCGGCTCGGCGGGCGCGGTGGGGATGCGGTGGGGATGCGGACTCCCCTTCCTGCCGGCCTGGCGTCAGTAATGAGTGGTATGAGTTTCCTGCCCGCCCACTGATTGCTTCCTCAAAGAGCTTCAACGAGCTGCTGCTGCTGCTGCTGCAGCTCCCCACGCCCCGCTCCCGGCCCGGCCGGCACCGCTGCACTGCCCAGCAGTGTCCGTGCCCCGCACTGGGCACCACGGAGATCCACAGTGTTATAAATGATCAAACACATATCACAACAGCCAGCCCCGCTGCTGCTCCGCCATCCCCGGGGCTCAGTCCCTGCCCCCCAGTTCCAATTCTGCCCCGAGCACATCTGGTGATCTGGTGACCCCAAGAGCATCCACCCCGTGCCCCTGCCGCGGCTCCGCAGTGTCGCGGCCGTGCTCGGGATGGCTCTGCCGGAGGGGGAGCACGGCCCCCGCTCGGCACCTCCGCCGGGAGCCAGCCCAAATCCCCCTCCGCCATTTGTCATCCCCGCCAGATTTACAGGCGGCAGCGCTTGGGGCTGGAAGCGCGGTGGCCCCGGCGCGGCTGCCTAAAAGCAGCACCTCCCCAGCACCAAGGGGGGGTCTCCGCTCGCCCCCGCCGCCCCCAGCCCCTCTCGGCTGGCCCCGCACGCAGCCGCGGGC